CAGAGGAGCTGAAGAAGGAGCAGGACACCAGTGCCCATCTGGAGCGGATGAAGAAGAACATGGAGCAGACCATCAAGGACCTGCAGATGAGGCTGGATGAGGCTGAGCAGCTGGCCCTGAAAGGGGGCAAGAAGCAGCTGCAGAAGCTGGAGGCTCGTGTGCGGGAGCTGGAGAATGAGCTGGAAGCTGAGCAGAAGCGCAATGCTGAGAGCATTAAGGGTCTCCGCAAGTCCGAGCGTCGCGTTAAGGAACTCAGCTATCAGGTGGGGCTCCTGGGATGGCCCAGGTCAATTCCTGCCCCATTGCCACAGGGCCTCATATCTCATGCTGAACATGACCAGAACATGGCTGACCTGCTGGCCAGAGAGACACAGGCTGTCTATATTCAATACTATTTACCCACTGTGTGTATGTCTGATACTGCAGTGGGATCCAGAATACTGTCTGGGTCATGAGCCACCCAGGTCATCTCTCAGTGTCCCAGCATCCATGGGGTCTTTGCATGATCCATCCTCTAACCTCATCAGGGGAAAGAAGACATCTCGCCTCCTACTCCCAGAGCTGAGGTCACCCACAGATCTTGAGAGGATCCACTCTCCCAGAACATCATTACCTCTCTACTGACCCTCGTACTTGGGTGGTGATTCCAAGTGCAGGTAGGGTCAGGTCAGGATCCATGTGTCTCTCACCCTACAGACAGAGGAAGACCGTAAAAATATGATCCGGCTCCAAGACCTCGTGGACAAGCTCCAGCTGAAGGTCAAGGCCTACAAGCGACAGGCAGAAGAGGCGGTGAGCACTGGGCAGGCAGCCATGGGACCACCCCTGCCTCAGAGGGGACAGTGTGGGTTTAGGATGTGGGAGACGATGTGGGGAGTAGCAGGAGACTTGAGATGAGGTGGTGGGGTATTAGGGGGTGAGGAGGGTGGGTTGGTGATTGGATTGAGAGATGTTGGTTGGATGTGGGAAGTGGCGGAAGTGGTGAAAGGAAGGAAGGAAGTGGCGGAAGGAAGGCAGTGGTGGAAGGAAGTGGCGGAAGGAAGTGGTGGAAGGAAGGAAGAGGCAGAAGGAAGTGGCGGAAGTGGCGGAAGGAAGGCTGTCTTGAAGTTTATGTGGGTGGAAGATTAAATGGCGGGATGGATGGATGGATGGATGGATGGATCATTGAATAGATGGTTGGGTGGTTCAAAAATAGAATGTCTGAAGAAACAGGTGTTTCTACTGTGGGTCAGAGCATAAAAAAAGGCAGATGTATGGGGGGCAGAGGGGGTGCAGGAGGCCAGACAGAACTGTGTGGGAGCCTCACTGGCGTCCCTGCACCCTCAGGAGGAACAGGCCAACACCAACCTGGCCAAGTTCCGCAAGGCACAGCACGAGCTGGATGAGGCAGAGGAGCGTGCCGACATCGCTGAGTCCCAGGTCAACAAGCTGCGGGCCAAGAGCCGCGACATTGGAGCCAAGGTGGGACCTTCCCCTG